TCCCAGCTAGTACTGATTATGAGTCTGACAGGAAATAAGCACTTTATGTCTAGTTTGGTCTCTCAGTGCAGAGGGAGGCGTGGGCATTACCTCCACCTTACAGGGGACAAAACCGGAAACAAATTTCAAAATGCACTGGCTGGTCTTATTCACAGACATTACTTCCGAATACAATTTTAATCAAGAATTCAATCAATAATTGTTTACTTCAGCAAATTACCCCCTACAATTAAGCTTTTAGTTTGAATGCTATGGTAGTCTTTGCTGGATTGTCACCTGGCTTATGGCCGATGTCATGAAAATCTCAGAGTCTAAGTCTCATGGGTTTGTAAGCTGGTAGTTTAAATGTCTTGTTGCCCTTCGATCATCATCATTTAAGACAGAGAGAACATCTCATCCGGGAAGCAGAGACCGTGGACCAGTTGTCGAGTATGAGAAATCCTCCGTACACATGTACATTCTGAGGGCCACAATGCATCCTTTACCCACACAAGACCTGAGGGCTACATGCATCCTTTCCATAGCCTTAGGAATATTTTGGAAGATGGGAAAGGGTAGATAGAGTCTGGAAATTAAATGTATTTTTCTGAGATTCTTTTCTCTCTCACTCTTTCCTTTCTCCCCGTCCTCTCCCTCTCTTTTTTTTGTGGTGCTAAGGTGTCATGTAACCCAGGCTGGCCTCAAATTACCAACATAGTTGAGGGTGGCCTTGAATTTTTTTTTAGGTTCATTTTTATTTTGTGTGTGTATATGTGCACACATCTGAGTCCAGTTTCCCTCAGAAGACTGAAGAAGTTGAGTTCTTTGGCTCTGGAATTACAGAGAGCTATGCACTCCATGATGTGGGCACTGGGTACCAAAACTTGGGTTCTCCAAAGGCTAATATGTACTCTTAGCTCCTGAGCCATCTCTCCAGCCCCACCCATGACTTTTTAATCTTCCTACCTCCACCTCCTAAGTGCTGGGGTCACAGGTGTGCACCTCCATGTCTGGTATTATGTGGTGATAATGATGGAACCCAGGACTTCATGTATGCTAAGCAAACACTCTACCAACTGAGTTATATTCCCATACTTTATTTGCTTATTTATTTTGAAACAGAATCTCATTATGCCTCAGGATCTTCCTGCCCACTCAGCCTCTTGAATGCTGGGACTAGAGGTGTGTGCCATCATGCCAAGATAGTAATTCATGTCAAGAGATATTTGTTGCTTTCAAAGTTCTCAAGGTTTTTTTAGGTTTATTTGTATGTTTCTGTGTGTCTGTGTGTTGCCATGTATATGCAGGTGCCCCCAGAGACCAGAAGAGGATATCAGATTCCCTGAAGCTTAAGTTGTAAGCAGGTATGAGTTGCTTGATATGGGTGCTGAGAACTAAACTTAGGTCCTTGGAAAGACCAGCAAGGCAAAGTAACAAGTTCTGACCAAGCTGTGCCAGGTTAGCTCATCCCAGAGCAGTCTGACCCATCCTAGTTTGGAATATGCAGTTTTGATAAGGGAATGAATGAAATTCTTCATCTACTTTCTGGACTCTAAGTCATATTGCAACCTGGTTTCATATTAACTGTCCCCAAATGTCTAAAAATGGTAACACTGAAACCTCTTAAGCACCAGACTCCAGGGCAGCCCAGGTGAGGGGACAGAGAGTATCTGCTTTCAAGACTAGAAAACAGGAATGGTCTCTACTTTAGAGAGGAAAAAACAAAGGATCAGAAAAATTAAGAAATTTAAACCTATGGTCCAGTGCAAGAGACACAGCAGACTCCAGGTACAGTAGGACTAATGCCCATGTGTGAGGGGCTGGGCAGGTGCCTGGAGACCCATAATGCGAGGTGCTTTAAGACACATGGCTGCAGCTTTTGCTAAAAAGCCAAGATACTTCCTCCATCAGGACAAAGAGGATGATGAATGTGAGTCTCTCTACACATGACACATTGTTTTTTCTTCCTTAGGACTAAAAAAAGTTTTATTTTTATTATTCTTATATGTATGGGGTTTTTGCTTGTATGTATGTAAGTGCACCACATGCATGCAATGCCTACAGAAACCAGAAGGCGGTGTTGGATTCCTCTGGAACTGGAGATAGCCTCCATGTGGGTGCTGGGAATGGAACCCAGGTCCTCTGCAAGTCCCAGGTCCTAAGCCAGTGAGTGCTCTTAACCACTGAACCAGCTCTCCGGCCCCCTTAAGATTAAGTTCAGGATGACTTAAAACTGTCAGCCAAGCTCCCAACAGCTTGGCTTAAACATTGGCTTTTGTAAGGTTTTTGACTCAGTTTGGGATTCCTATCCTCAGGGAAACAAGGATTCTGTGGAAACCATAAGGTCAGTAGGTGCTGAATTTCTATCCTGAATCCATCTTTCCCCAGCCCATCAGAAAGCCTTATTGTTCAAATGGAGCAAGCAGTGTGGAGTGAATTGCTTTCAGGAAGCCCGATTTCTAATTCACCCAGGCCTGTGTTCCCATAAGCTGCAGGCACACCGTGTGTCACCTGCATGTCCCCAGGTCATGAGCTCACAGTCATTCAGCATCTTGACTGTCTGGCTATCTGTGTCTCCCTGACCAGTGTGCAGAGTGTTTCTTCTTTCATTTAGCAAAGAATGAATTGAGTTACTACTTTTTTTTTTTTTTTACGGCGGGGGGGGGGGCGGTATCTTTTTGAGGCAGGGTCGTCCTGTAGCTACAGCTGGCCTGGAACTCACTATTTAGACCAGGCTGGCCTCGATCTCACAGAGATTCTTCAGCCTCTGCTTCTTGAGTGTTGGGATTAAAGGCCTGTGCTACCAGGCTCTGCTCAAATGCCAACTTTTATTAAGCTTAATTGTCACCATCTCTGTAATGGAATATATTTACATGAATAAGTTTAATCTAGAGAAAAAAAAACCAGAAAGCAAGAATTCTCTTTTCCATCACAAAGAGTTGTACAAAATCAAGCCAGCCAACATTCCAGCATGTTTGGGAAAGAGCTCTTGAGACTTTACCCACCCCTCCCTGGGAAGTTACTGGCAGCGGGTGACTGCTGTGAGAGGGGAAGTCATTTTTGTTTGGGGGTGTGGCCACTGGTAGGTTGCCCACACTGCAGTGGGTCTCCTCCGGTCCCAGGCAGATAGCACTAAACTGGACTCAGTGGGTTATTTTTATAAGAGGCATGAAGTTGTGTAGGGGATATATGGGGGACCTGGGGAGATGGGGCACTTGGGCTGAATATGATTAGGAAATATTGTGTACATGTATAAAATTGTCAAAGAACAAACAACTAATATTCTAATAAAAAAAAAACCACTTTGTAAATAAGAGTTCCTTTGGTGGGAAAGGAGTTCAAGACTTGAGGCCAGGTTCCAGGCTGTAATAGTGACTGTCCTATCTACTATGTGGCGTCACACAGGGGACTAAACTAGGCAAGTCCCGAGGTTGTTCCTCGCATGCCTGCATTCGATTCCTCAGTCTTCCCAGACTTCCTGCTTGGATGTATTGATGGGAGAGGAAGAGAGGCAGTGTGAGGGCAAAAGTTATGGAAAGGCAGATGGCATCACTTACTGTATGGACGCATGGGTATGTGCCATGCAAGATATCAAATTCTCTTCTTTTGGGGAGGAATCTGGTTTGTTGGTTACAACAGTTTGCTACTGTTTGCCTTGGCAACCAAGGAAAGACATTTCATTTCATATTGATAGGATAGTTAGGCTTCTACCCAGAAAAGTTAAATACAAGTTCTTAGCTTAAGAAACTTACATGTAATAATAACAGTGAAATCTTGGGCCAGTGAGGTAGCTCAGTGGGTAAAGGCACTTGCCGCCAAATCTGTTGACCTGGGTTCCACATGGTGGAAGGAGCGAACTGATTCTTGCAAGGTGTCCTATGACCTCCACACTCATGCACACACCCAACAGTATAAAAAAAATCTTAAATCAAAACTGAGATTTACCATGTCAATATCTGCTGTAACTAGCTAAGGATTGTAGAAGCCTGTGATGTCTGAGTCTAATCCCAGTTGTTGCTTCATAATGAGTGTGCTGGTGCTTTCAGAATGTCCACACTGTTCCAAAGGATTCCCCAGCCTCAGCATCATTCTTTCCTATACTTGATCTTAGCCAAAGGTCAAGAAGCAGTTCAGCATCCTTTTCTGATAAAGTGGCCACAAGAAGACAGCACACACAGCAAGATGCTCAGATAGGCGATGGACTACCTCGTGTATGAAGCTAGAATCTGGAATGTTTTTCAGACTCCAAGTTCTGACTTTCCTCTGAGGTCCTTTGGTGAAACTTGGATGTGGGGGCAGAGATGAAGGGGGCTTAGACTGCTTTATAAAGAGGGTTGGAATTCTTGGCTATCTGTTGACCTTCTCAGAGCAGCTGTTTGCACAAATGAACTTTACAATTTGAGAAAGCTATCAGTGACAGTCCTAACATATAAAAGAATTCACTTCTGTAATGCAGATTCACTTATGCTCCTGGGAAAGGAAAAGAGCCTCAGTTGCATCAATCCTTCACCTTGCCTTGTTTGAATTTCTTGCATCCATTTTGGAGATGCCAGAAGGAAACTGGGGTGATGGTAGCTGTTAAGGCCTCCTCCTGGACCAAAGGCTTCAGCATCTTCTGTCCCATCCTCCCATTCTTTAGGAACCAGCATTACCCCAGGTTTTTGGGTTTGGGGGATCTGGTGTGATACAGACTATAGGCTGATCACCTCAAACTCAACATCTAACTCTTCTGTCCTCAGGAATTACATTCTTAATTGATTTGGTAAATCCAAGTAGCAGTTACCAGCCTCTTTTGCAGGAGATGTGGCCAAGTGATGAGATGCTACCAAGTAAGTCGGAGTGGAAGTCTTGGATGATACTACCAGGAGCCCTTAACACACAGAGTGAGATCTTTTGACACTTTCTTCTTTTTAAGGAAAGTGAATGTTTACCTGTTTAAGCTGAAGGAAACATCAGTGGTCACTGACAGTCTGGGGCCATCATACCCACCTATGTGACAAGTCAGAGAGACACAAATACTGTTATGTTTTAATGCGAACCGACATTTAATGACATCAATCCCTCCATATATGGCTTTGTTGTTTCCAAAACTTATGAACTTGAAACTAAAATATGACACGTTTTAAGAAATATTTTTGCCAGCTTTCCCTATCCGAAAGGAGACTAAAATGTAAGAATGTAAAAAAGTTAAGGTCAGGTGTTTTTGTAGCATAGCTAATGACTAACCCTTTGTTCACTGGTCACGTCTGCTCCACCCCGCCCGAAGGCCACGATCTTAACCTGTTAGTCAACAAGTGGTTAGTTAATAGTTCCCTGGGTGACCATTCCTGAAGTTAAGCTATGCTCTGGGGCACAGTAGGCACTTACGTGGGTAGTTACCCTTTCTAGGTTGGGCGAAATATTTGGCTCTCAAAAACAAGGTAAAGAGGTACAGTCAAACAGAATGGCCCTGGACTGTGTGTACCCCTGGGATCAGGTGTGTGTGTGTGTGTGGGGGGGGGTGTTTGACCATTCTCATGCACATCTGGACAGGTGTGATGGGGAGCTTGCAGGGCCAGCAAGCAAGTTGCTTAATTTCTGCATTTGCTGTGGATGTGGGTACCACGGCCTGCTCTTATTTTGATTCCAGCATTCTGAATGAGAGCCCAGTTACACAGAGTGATTCTCAGTATACTTAACAAGCGGCACGGCACATGTCCTGGTGATGGGAACAGAACAGATGTAAACAGTGGTGCAGCTGGTAAGGCTGCCCCACGCATACTAACAGAGTATCTGCAAATACATCTGTTTGGGCGTGGCAGGGACTCACTTGTGTGCATCCATCCCCTCTCCTAATCTCCTTCATCTGCATCTTCTCCTGCGGTTGCAGCTTCTAATGCAGCGAGGGCTTCCGCCACCTCAGCATCTTCATCCATCAGGAACCCATCCCTATCTCCATTGTAGGCATGGAGGTCCTGCTCATTTCTGGAGTCAACAGTAGGCATGGGGTGAGCAGGAAGCTCCTCTTTAAAGTAGACACTCAGAACTTCTGTTGTTACAGCCTCATTTAGTGAGTCCCAGCTTTGTTTTAGGGAAAAGGGCATATTCAAACCCTGCTGGCCCAACCTGGGGTAAATTCCTGGCAGAGGCTCCTCATTTGGATGGTTCTCAAAAAGATAATCCTTTTCTTCAGGATCTGCACTGTCTACTGTAGGGCCCCAGAACTGAGGGTAATCTGGGGCTGGAATCTGCAGGATGGGGTCTGCCGCTGCCAAGGCTCCAGCAGGGGCTTTGCAGTCTCCATGCCCCATGATCTGTGTCCCTTCCAAGGTGGGCAGCATGCAGCCCTGCTTCCTGCTGGCTTCTCCTTCAAGGAAGGGTTGAGCTGGGTGAGCACCATCCACAGTGTTAGCCCAGGAGCTGCTGGCCCAGGAGTCACCATCTCCCTGGTGGGGCCTGGGACTCCTGGCAGGCTGCAGAGTGGCCGAGGGGCTGATGCCATTGAGGGTGACACCATGCTTCTCCACAGAGTGTTTTCTTTCTGAGTCCTCCTGAGGGAGAGGTCCTTGGTGAGGCTGATCTGCTGTACTGCCTCGACTTTCTGTCCTGGTCAAACCCTCGTTGTGCAGGGCATTCCTGGGCACCACGACCTCATGGCTCCGGGTGCCTTTTAGTCTAACAGTGTCGTCCTCCTCCAACTTGCAGCTGTTGACTTCATTGACAAAACCAGGGGAGGGCACTTGAACTGGATCGAAGAGATAGCTGAGGGCAAGAGAAGTGGACATCAGTTAGGGTGGCATTACTACAGGGGAGCTGGGAGTGAGCTCGTCCCTGTGACTGTGTCTAAACGGAATAGATATGCTTGCTAGTGGGAAGAAAGCTGAAGAGAAGCAAAGGCAAGGGAGACGTGAGTTACACAGTGGTTTATGGAATTTTTAAACAGAAAGCTGAAGAAAACAAATGTCCACTAATAGGGAAATAAGTTACTTAGCAATAATACCTTTCCTCAGCTGAATAGCATTCAGTCATTAAAATGACAAACATGAACTGTGGTGGGTAAAATAAATAATCCCCAGGGAGTTAGTCCCAGGACCCCCAATGGATACCAAACCTGCAGATGCTCAAATTCTCCATATGAAATTTCGGCATGATATTTGCATACAATCTCTGCACATCCTCCTTTATGCTGAACATCATCTCTAGATCCCTCATTCAACCTAATGCAAGGTAAACACCATATAGGGAACAACCAGAAGAGCCTATACATGTTTGGCCCAGACTTGATTTCTTTTCTGAAGATTTTAATTAGTGTTTGGCTGACTCTAGGGGTGCAGGCTCCATGGATATACAGAACTGATATTACTTTCAAACAACACATGGTTATGATGGATAAAACTTATAGGTATGTATCTAGAGTCAAATGCAATCAGCAGCTCCCCCCACCCACCCCAGGAAGTTGGGCCATCACGGCTTGGGTTCGACTCACTTTGCCAAGACATTAAGTCTATAACTTCATTTTGGTATCTAGAAAACATGTGATATAGCTCTTTTTAATTTTTTTAAAATATTTTTTTCTCATTGCTTAAAACTGTTAGAAAAACCATCATTCTCTGAGATTGAATTTGGTTTGGATCAAATTTACACTTCTCCAGAGGGCTTCAGTGCAAAGAAAAGCTTGGATGTCAGAGAATGTCTGAAATTGTACTAGGAGCAGTAAAGAGCCCTTGTCACACATGGCCTTTCATGAAGATCTGAGTGATGTGAATCATGAGGGAAACAGATCAACTGATGGTCTTTAACAAGACTCCACAATCACACAAATTCCTCTTCAGATGCAATCTCTGCCCGACCTTACCTGTGTATCATTTTACAGCACCTGCACCCCATCTGGATGATTGTTTGTTACTATCTGGAAAAGAAAGAGTAAAAAGGAGAGAAAATCAGGAACTGTATTAGTAGGAATCAAGTTTGTTTTCTTTCTTAGATACTCAAAACTGAAAGAGCTATAAATTTTAGTCAAAGGATACACATGAATCGTGGAAGATTCATTACCACAATCCCCTTGTGCCTCTAGCATCACACATTCAGAATTCTTAAACACTCTTTACACTTAACACCCTCACACAAACTCTTCCCCCAGCCCTACGTCTTTTTTAAAAATATTTTATTATTTTTATTTTATGTGTATGTGTGTATTGCCTACTTGTAGGTAAGTGCACTTGTGTTGTGCAATGCCCCCAGAAGACAGAACAGGCTGTCGGATCCCCTGGAACTGGAGTTATGGACAGTTGTTAGCTGCCATGTGGGTGCTGGGATTCAAACCCAACTCTTCTGCAAGAACACCCAGTGTTCTTAACTGCTGAGCCATCTCTCCAGCCCCCCGGTCCTAAGTCTTATTCTCTGTACCCATTTTATAGATGAGAAAAACATGGTTAGAAGAACGTCAGGGAAGAAAGGGATGTGTGACTTTACTAACCTGTGTCCTCTTACAGAGGACCCAGGAATCTTCCTGGACATGGTCCTGCTCAGCAGGAGGTATATGAGACTCAGAGGATTTTTTTTGTCAGCACCACAGGCATTAATACGGTTTGGATCTTGAATGTCCACCAAAGTTTCATGTGTTCAAGGACTGTCCCTAGTCCAGGGCATTACTGGGAGGTGGTGGAAGCTTTCAGAAGGTGGGGCTTAGTGGACAGAAGTCAAGTCATCAGGGGTATGCCTTTAAAAGAGCATATCGTGACTCAGGGACTGCCTCTTCTTCTCTTCTCGGCAACCATGAGGTGACCAAGCATCTGTCTCATGTTCCTATCATAGTGTACTATAGTGCTACATCCTCAAAGTAACAAGCTGAATGGGTGATGGACGCTACAGACACAAGAGGGTTCTGGTAACTAGTACCCTCCATGATTTGTGTGCATCCTTTGGCCAAAATTCACAACTCTTTGAATTCTGAAACTTCTAGAACTGTGCACCAAAATGAGCTATCCTTTCTTAAATATTGACTGGCTCAGGTATTATGTCACAGTAATAGAAAGCTTATTAGCACAGATACCACGCATTAAAGACAGCTGACTATATGCTTCATGATTCAGCCCTTTGGAGTGGTGCAGCCTGAGGATGCTGTAGCTTGGCTTGAACCAGTGTGCTCCTGCTTTGTTGTCCCCCATGGTCATGGCAATCCCAACTATGAGTCATACATTCCATTGCCTTATAAGGCAAAACCATGCCCTGGGGCTTCCTGGTAAGGGTGGCCTCAGTTCCCACCAGCTCACTGTACCATGTCCCATTCCTCCCAGGCTGGACTCCCCTCAACACTTCCCTTTGAACAAAATTTCCTTTTCATGTAAAACTGCTCACACTGTTTTGCTGAATTCCTCAGAGAATCCCCAAAGATGATGTAGAAGGCTGTCTAAATCCTTCTCCATTTCCAAAGTGGACAGCCTTTCAAAAGACACACTGACATCAAGACCTGCAGCCCAGTGCCTTTGTCTATACAGCATTCATTAGGAAGAAAGGTGATTTGCCAGTGGCTGCCCTCTCACTCTCTCCTTCCTGCTTTCAGTCACGGATTTCCCAGGCTGATTCCTCACAAGCCTCAGCCCACAGGGAAAATGACTGCTGCTGAGAAGTCAGGTTGGTTGGTTGGTTACAGGGGACTAGATTCACTGTGATGATAAAATAAAATCCATATACCCTTGGTAGCGAGCTGAAAAGTACTCCCTAAAAGGATCTCACTAGCTGAATCCAAGGATCTGTTACCACATACAGCCAGAACAAGCAAGCAAGCAAGCAAACAAAAGTCTCTGTGATTAAGTTAAGGACTTTGACATGGGGAGGTTTGCTTGGAGTGTCTGGGCGAATTCTAAGTTCAATTAAATTAACATGCCTGTTCCTGAGCCAAAGGTAGAGGGAGATTTGGTCACAGATAGAAGAGGGGAGGCAGGCAATGTGATCATAGAGGCAGAGGCTGGAACAAGGGGGCCACAAGCCCCGGATGAGCAGGGACCACATTCACCCCTAGGTGCTTGGCAGGCATGACCCTAGGGATGCCTTCAGGGCAGTCCAGTGATGCCAGTTTTAAAACCTCTGGTTCTGAGGGAAGAAACTGTTGCTATTTAAAACCAAGTTTGTAGCAATTTTTCTAGAAGCACAGGAAACAGATATATCCCCAAGCCACTTTTTCCCTAAGCACTGAATCCTTTCTTGGGAGGATTGAATTTGTGGGTCCACTGGGCCACCCAGCCATCTCTTGTCACCTTCCCTCCTGATGGGTTTTCATTTTGCTTCCTAGCATTTGCTACACTGGAAATCTTGTCACAGGTTAGTTTCTCATCCATTCCCGCCACCGCCACCCCCACGATGAAGTCAGCTTTTGGAGCTTTATTCACATTTTTAAAAGATGCACATTTTACACCAATCTAGTTGCCATGAAACAGGCATTAGCAATAACAAGAACTATCTGTTTCTGGAATAAGGACCAAATGGTATATACAGACACACAATACAGACACAGACACAGATACACACATACACAAACAGATGGACACAAAGAGACAGATAGACACAAAGAGAAAGACAGACATAGACATACACAGAGACACAGACACAGACAGGCAGATAGACAGACAGACACACTTTTACTTTTCCAAACCACTCTCAAATTACTCATTTCAAAAACCCAGGATTATGTTCCTAGTCTCAGCTCCCCACTGCCTCATTTTCTGCTAGTAATTCATAGATCAGCTGGACAGATAGGCTAGATTAAAAAATACCATGTGCAGGCCTGGAGGGATGGCTCAGTGGTTAAGAGCACTGGCTGCTCTATCAGAGGACCTGGGTTCAATTCCCAGCACCCACATGGTGGCTAACAACTGTCTATAACTCCAGTTCCAGGGGAATCCAATGCCCTCTTCTGACCTCTGTGGGAAGTGCATGACATGGATGCACTTACGGATATTCAGGCAATACACTCACACATAAACAAGAAAATACTACCTGCACCTCTACCCTCTCCAACCCTTTTGTGCTGGATAGATTTAGTGTCAACTTGGCACACCTGGGTAGAGAGAGACTCAATTGGGGAATTTCCTCCATTGGACTGACCCATGGCCATGTCTGTGGGGTAGTCTCCTGATTGTTGAGTGATATGGGAGGGCCCAGCCCACTGTGGGTGGTACTACCCCTGGGCAGGTGGGCCTGTGTTGCATAAGAAAGCAGGCTGAGCAGGAGCCAGGGGAAGAAGCCAGTAAGCAGTGTTCCTCCATGGCCTGTGCTCCAGCTCCTGCCTCCAGGTTCCTGTCCTGATTTCCTACCTTGGGCTCCCTGATGAACTGTGACCCGGGAGATGTAAGACAAATAAACCCTTTCTTCCCCAAGTTGGTATTGGTCAGAGTGTTTGTGTGTCACAGCAATGGAGAAACAAACTAGGACACCTTTCTTTTCTGCTACCCTCCCCACCTCAGTACTGGCTTTGAAATCCTGTCCCTTTCCCTGCCTATAATACCTTTGTTTACTTTGGAATCTTGTTTAGAAAAAAAAAAAGAAAAAAAAAAAAAAGAAAGAAAATTTGGACAGGAGGGTAACTAAGGAAGAAAAGTCAAAAGGAAAAGGGGGCTCAGGAGTGTTTGAGAAACAAAGAGGACAGACTGGATCACAGTCCTGTAACTGAAGCACTGTCAAATACTATTGACAAATAGCAGGTCAGCTTTTGTCAAGAGTTCAAGAGTTGGAAGGGAGGGAAGAGAGAGCGGGGGTGGGGGTGGGGAGCAGGTAAGAAAGGAGGGAGAAGAAGGGACAACTAGATCAACCATTTCTGTAATACCATGTTCCCAGCTTCCCAGTGGCTAAGTTGGACCCTGGGGACCCCTGCCTAGGTGCAGCTAGAAAGCCTATTTTCTACCTTTTGCTGGGCTGAGGCCACACAGCAACCTGCTCAGAAATGAAAGGATGGCTGGGATTTAACACTCCACCTCCCAAACTACTGCTTTCCACTGCGTGCGTGCGTGCGTGCGTGCGTGCGTGCGCGTGTGTGTGTTGCTAGGAATTGAACTCAAGACTTTGTGACTAACTGAGCTCCAGGCCCACCCTGCTTCTTGTATATTCCCCATAGCATCCAGGGTCCCCTCCTCCTCTTCTGGAGAAAACACAGGAGCTACATTGCTCTTCTGAACCATGTAATTACAGGCTGTTTTAGTAGCTTTTCCCTTTTCAGAGTTGCTTCCAGTCTGTTTCTCCCTGTACCGCCTCCACACCTGCCCCCCTTAGGGTTTATCTCCTGGCTTTCCTACAGACTGGGTCCCATACCTGAGGGCCATGGTTTTGTGCCTGTGCTTTGCTAGCTTGAGTTCGGTGGGGATATTCTTCCTGGTTCAGGTCTGCTTTCTCTTATCACCCTGTAGTTTCCTTCCTAGTGACATTCCTTCTCCCAACTGGCTCTAATGTCCAAGGTTGTGTGACCCACAGACGAACAGGGTGGGGACTAATGTATTCACACCCAACCCCTGCACACGCGTATCTGCAACTGTTCTTCCTTATATGATGTGGAAGTGTCAGATCAAGTTCAATCCGTTTCCCTATTTGTAGGTTAATAACAGAGCCACATCTTGGCTGTCACAAGGAGAGCTCCTTCTTCCAGGTACAGAAGGGGGATATAGCCCTTCTCCAGAGGATACATGGAAGTGGGAAAGCAGCAGTCTGGTAGGAAGGCTCAGTTCCACAGGAGCAGTCTACCTGCTTCTCTTCTGGAAATAGCTACCCAACTTACAGTTAAGAACTCTAGTTGTGGGAGCCCTTGATGGCCAAGAATCCAAATCTATTTTCTCTTTGGAGCAGTATAAACAGCAACAGGGAAGCAAAGGGCACATCCTTCGAAGCCAGGGTTTGGTTTACACAGGGGAAGAGCAAATACCA